TTTCTTCCCTCTAATTTCCCAAACTTACCTGCTCCTCCTATTTCAGGCCAGGGGGGTTTCAGCGTTTCCTGGTGTTGCAGCCTAAAGCCTTCCTCCCTCGTGGGCCCGTGGAGTGTGGTTTTAATGCCCCCTCAGGTCCTCAACCCTGCGACCCCTCAAGGCCTCACACCAGAGGGGCTGACCTGGCACTGAAGGGCGAGAGCCCTGGCGAGAGGGCCGGAGTCCGGCCACACAATCTGCAATCGAAGCGGCATCTTCCACTTGGGGGCTTGGAGCCGAGCAGACCCGCGAAGGGCGCTGGGGGATTCCTTTCTCCCCACAGTGAAGGGAGGCGAGATTCGGGGAGAGGGGAGAGGGGAGAACACGGGAACCCCTAAAGGCACGCCTATTCCAAGCTGCTGGTGGCCTTGCTATTTAGCACTTCAGCCCCTCAAGGGAAAGCTGTGGGAGCCATGAAGTCCACCTCCCTTCCCCAGACAGAACGGAGGCTTTTCCACGGGAGAAGGCGCCCCGCGAGGAAGGGCGCGTCACTCATCTTGCCACGTCGTTGCATGGACATGACCTGTCATCTGTCCCACCATAGGACACTCAGAGTGGGGGCCTCAGGGCGCCCTTCAGATCAGCTCCTCAGTTATTTCCCGGAGCCTTGCACCAAGGCTCCGGGGAATCGCAGCTTTCCAGCCCTGTTGCCCCTCCCGGTTGTCAGTCTAGGTTTATGAGGGGTTGGGGCGCGGGCAGGAGCCTGGGAGGGGGGCAGAGGGAAGGCTTCTGGGTGCCTCTCACTGTCCTGCCGGCTGGGAGGAGGTGGGGCGATCACACTTTTTTATTTTAAATGCGGGTTCGCCCAGCCCCGGGGTTGGGAACAGAACCCAGTCCCACCTTGAACGGAGCGGGAGCAGAGCCCGCCTCGCCGCGAAGGCCGTGGAGTTATTACCGGTGGGAAGCGCAGGACAATTTAAAACAGTGTAATTGGAAACTTGTCGGGAAGGCTTGTTCTTCATTAGTGTGAGGCGTGAGCCGCCTCCGCGGAACAAGGACAATTACATGGCGCGGCGGTGTCTGCGCGGCCGGCGGGAGACTGAGGGCCAGAACCCAGTCCCACCTTGAACGGAGCGGGAGCAGAGCCCGCCTCGCCGCGAAGGCCGTGGAGTTATTACCGGTGGGAAGCGCAGGACAATTTAAAACAGTGTAATTGGAAACTTGTCGGGAAGGCTTGTTCTTCATTAGTGTGAGGCGTGAGCCGCCTCCGCGGAACAAGGACAATTACATGGCGCGGCGGTGTCTGCGCGGCCGGCGGGAGGCTGGGGGCGCCGCCCGGGCCGCCGCCCCCACTTCCACAAAACGAGAAGCACACCAGTGCGCGCTGTCCTTTGATAGATTTTTAATATGATTTTAGAGAGTTTTGTTTGGTCTCATTCTTATTCAATGAGATTAATTTGAAGCACTTATCCCCTGGGTTTAAGTCCGTCCGCGCAGGGCTTCGGTGGGGTTTGTTGCGCGGGGGGGTTTGTTTGCACGAGGCTCTGAGAGACTCCTTTCGCACTTCATTAACCCTGAGTCGGGCACCGTCCCGCGCCCCCGCAGCCGGGCTGGGGATTTACCACCCCCATTCACATGCAAAAGAACCCCAAAGCCAGGGCTCCTTGACTTAATTAGCTGCTGTGCATTTTGCAAAATTAGAATAATACCCTCACCGTCCCCTGAAAGGGAACAAGGGTGTGAGGGTGTGTGTGGGGGGATAGGGAGTCAACGCCGCAGGGCGGTGCAGGTGCAGGCTAAGCTGCCCCCAGCTCTCCACCACCAGGCAGTCCTCCCGGCGCGACCATGCCACCAAGTGAAGGGGCTCAGGTTGTTGAGCCCCCAAACCTCCCAGCCCTGGGTGTGTCTCCGGTCCTGGGCGCGTGAGCTGCAGGTGGGAGCGGGAACGGCCCCAGGAGGTGGCCTCGGCCCTTTGACCCTGAACTGGAGGCCTCGAGTCTGGCTGAGATGAAGCCCCTTCCCCCAGGTCCCCTCTGCGGCTCATCCCCCACTTACTAGGGGGGAGGGGGAGGGAGGAGAGGCGGAAGTGGGGTACCCGCTGGGGCGTCCGGTTCCCAGTGAAAGTTCCTGGGGTCCTACCCTCGCGGGGCCGGAGCC